GAACAATGATTCATATAATACTTATTATCTTTTTGGATAATGCGGCATATTAAATCTTTTTTTAATTGTAAATTGAAATTATGGAATCATTCGGACTCTCGTGAAGCAGAATAGTAATTAAAGGTAACTGATCAAAATGACATGCCTGGAATGCAAGCAATAAATGTTACAGTTTGATATAACATGTATTAATTTAATGATAGTCGGGATATATATACGCGATTGGTGGTTCAATTATATCCGCTATTTTAAACGTCACACGTGACAGCCTTTGTACATATTAATTCACGTTCTGTGTTTGCCTGTCGAGCTTCAAGCAAAGCTATCCAGAGTTCAGAAACCGCAAGCTGCTTCCTGCAAGCTACTCCTGAGTCTGATGCGCGAAACGTTATAGCCCGGCTTACAACCGCAGTAACTGTGTCGTGCTCCGTAACACGGTGGCTTTGTTAAAAGTCAAGTGTTTACGTTCAGGGCTCGTATCCCGCCTCAAAAGATCGATTAAATGATCTCTCACCTGCAAACTCCATTGACGATGAAGAGCAGGTCCACGTGAGCGATCAAGAATCCTGAAATACATCGTAAACAACTCGGGAAGAATCGGTGGAGGGAAAGAAATGGGACTTCCTCTAAAATTTGAAAGCAGGGGCAAAAGCATCTTTTTAATATTTTTTAACACTCGTGTATTGATTAAAAGAAAAGTAGAAATTGAATGTATGAGATACTTCAACATAATTTCAACTCATTTTAAGCGATCTATAAATCGCGGCAGAATTTGATATAACTAGATATAACTTTGATATGTCATGTGATATAAAAACAATAGAAACATAATTATAATACAAAATGTACAGAGAGATAATCTAACAATAAGTCAGCACATGCAATCATATACATATAATTATAATTAAACTTTACAATTAATATTATTTTATGCGTGATTATAATTACAATATATAGATAAAATTATGAAGAAAATTTTGAATTTAATTCTCAATTATAAATCGCTTAAAATAAATTTAAAACAAGCATCGATATTTATTAAATATTATATATGAAAAGATTGAGAATTAAATATTAAGAGAGAAATTTATAAACTGTATAATTTTTTAATAAAATAAATAATATTTTATTCAAGTGTTTAACTTTAAAAAGAAAATTCATTCAAAGCCCGAAGATATTGATAAAATCTGAAATGTGTATGTAATCTCTCGTAAGTTAAAGAGAGGAGAATCTCGTAAATTAAAGAATTTCGAAGAGAGAAAAGATAAAGGAGACGAATGCCCTGGAGGTTATTGTCAGAATGAGATGGGGTGAAGGAACTTTTGGCACGAAGTAATCGAAAAATATATATTCAAAGTTATTCCAAGTGTTTTCTTACCCAGAGCCCCACCGTGTTGCAGCTGCGCAAGAGTTACGATATTGGTGTCGTGGTTAGTGTGCGCGGTATACATATACGTCGAGGCTTAATAGACGAGAATTTAGGACGATCTTACTCGCGGAGGATGGGAGAAACAAAGTGGAACATGTACACGATCGTATTATATATGTGTATTGTGTATGTTACGTCTGTATCGTGAAACGACTGTGAGACGGGCTGAGACCGATTCTGGAATTGATTATCGATTATGGTATATTTTGATCGATTTGAAACATCTCTCTCTCACTCTCGCTCTCATTCTTCCTAACTTTTTCTCTCTCTTTCTCTCTTTCTGTATCTTTGATAGACATTGCGTCAATAATATATCGCGCTTTTCCCATTGTTGCCGAGTAATGCTGATACACTGGCTATTAATTTTGTAAACACAGTATGACATATTTGTGATATACAATTAGAAGCAGATTTGAAGTTTCTAATGTTATTAAGACGGAGTAAGTTCCGTGAAGCTTTTAATTTAAGCAATATTTTAACATCCGTTTATGTTTAACAATAATAATAATAAATGTATGAGTCTTTCGTTCATATACTTTGTCAACACATATAATTTTTGTTACAGAACATTTTTATTTCGTGATTATATGAATATATAATCATAATTATAAATGTAATAATAGACAACAAAATATTTGATCGTTTATATTTAATATTCAAATGTACAATTTTCATTATAATCACATTATCATCATTATCATCATACATTAACTTTAATATTTTATTCTATTACAATGAAAATTGTGCATTGCATTATATAACAAAACAAATCTAGTGTACATGATTTTTTAATAAGTATTTATTTAAATTTCTATTCTGAGAAATTGCGTTTGTTTTATTATATTAAAACCGTAATTGATTTAATAATTATATGTAAATACCAGATTATATAATTTAATTATGAATGTATTGTGTTACAAAATCTGTAATAATAATATATTATTAATATATATATTTAATTTTATTATATATTAGTTTTCAATTCTAAATAAATATATTTATAAAAATTATATATAAAATATTTAAAAACAAATATTTTACAAATTACATTTTTCACATATAAGAGTGTATCATAAATTAAACTTTTTCAAGTAATAATCTTAAAAGAAAAAAAATTTATAAAAACAAATTTTATTAATTAAAATTTAAGCAACAATAAATGATATTAGACCAGTATGTGAATAATACAATTAAGTGAGAGAAAATTATTCAGTCTGATCTAAATTTGAGTACTTAATAATATTTCAGTGTGAATTTATATACATTAAAATTTTATTTTGCAATATTATATTTTTAAAAGATTTTATTTAATTCAATCTGCTTCTTAATGTACATTTCTCATACAATGTGTTAATATACCCTCAAAAATATGTTTCAGCACGACCGGTAACAGTGGGAGCCAATCAACGTCGATCTGCTCTTTCGTCCTGAAAATACAATTAGACGTAATTTTTGGCGTCAACATGCAGGCGGGTGCATTTCGTTCGTTCTCCTTTCCTCATGCAGCTTGGTGCTCGAGCTAAAGGCAATTGTCAGACGCTCATTGATCACTCATTCCGTGAGATAGAGAGGATGATTCGATGAAATGATCCACAATTCATTACCGATCAATTTAAAAATCATAGTTTCAGTAATCACTTTAATCTGTCAAAAATTAATCGCATTCGCGCCAAGAAACAGTTTGATTTTATTAATCGTACTCACAGTCATTTCGAAGTATAAATAGAAATGGATTCGAGTTGCGATAAAAATTCAATTTATAAATTTGCGCAAAAATTTTATATTTTTATTATAAGAAGATTGGTTATTCTGATTTCTTTCTTTAAAGAAGAAAGTAAAAATTTTTTTTTTAGAAAGAAACAATAAGAAATTTCGGTCTAGCTCCGAATCAGATTGTATCATACACGTGCAAAGATATTAGACCGCGTTAATGATAGAAATGATGATGGTAAGAGGAGCGTAGATTGTTGCGTGCATGTGCAATGACCAGTGGTGTACCTATAGAGCTAGCTTAAGTGTCATGTGCGTATATATTATCCACGCGTGAGCTATGTACATATTGTGGCTGATCTCCTAACCATTCGCAAGAAAGCACTCATGGAAAGGATTATCTTGATACGACTATATTGATAGGGCTAAATCAAATATTTCATAATATTAATATATAATATAATATTTCAGAATATTAATTTTAATTTAAGTATCAACACTGATAATCTAAAATATTCACATACGTGTGTAGTAATTTAATATCTTATTATTAGATGTAATAGATAGTGATCTGTTGTCATAAAGATTTTTATAAATTTAGCAAAAGATTTCATAAAGATATCGTATCAATCATCCTTTTCACAAGTTGCATGTCTTTTCAATAGGAATAAAGAGAAGAGAAAAGAGAATAGCAGATAGAAATAATAAAGTTGGATGTAGGATGAGAGTCGTAAATAGGATAGATGCATTCGAATATTGAAACATTCGATCATTTAAATATTCTACGTAACTTTCTCATATGAAATTATATGTACGGAACTCACAACGTCCGTATATTAAAAACTGTTATTACTGTTACTATTTCACGATTTATTTATATACATATTTCGAACAACGATCAATAACCATAAACGCAACAATTGCAATAATATGTTGTACATTGACTAAAAAATAATGTTCAATCATGAGTAAAATTTTTCTCTTATTTGAAAATAATATTCGTTTATCCAAAAATTATCATGAAATATTGCATAATATCTGCGCGCATATATTTGTTTTATTTAATTTCATTAAGGTGCCTAATTTGCTTATTAATTTTTTCTTTGAATTTATATAAAATTGACACTCAACATGATTAAAATAAACAATTCATTAAATCTAGCATAATTAAGTAGTTGAAAATTCTATTAGACACAGTAAAATTGTTAATTTTTCGATTTGTAAAGTGTAAACGTTTATACCACTCGTAAAATATTTTTATAGTATTTATAAACCACATATTTTATAATATTTCTAAATATTTTATAAATTTTCTTTGTAGAGAAAATAAAGTTTTCTCAGTAAAAGAGCTATCATTACTATCGTAAGAAAATTTAACATTTAAATTAGGAAGTATCGTGCACATTTGATATTTTCATTTTATCTACAAATCATCAACACATGCCACAATAACAAGAAATTCTCATAATCTTACTATACTATTGCAATATCATACGTCTATATGTGCATATATATTTATTTTTGAAGAAATACTTGAATATTTTTATTTTTCGCTATTCAGCATCTATTTTCAAGATCGAATGTAGAAATAAGAATAGAGAAATAATAAAAAATGAAGAAGAAGAGGAAGATGATGAAGAAGAAGAAGAAGAAGAAGAAGAAGAAGAAGAAGAAGAAGAAGAAGAAGGTGCTCTGGTGACCACTCCTCTCTAAGAAGCTAAGTTCTCGCGTGAAAGTTAGCCAATTAGGTATATACAGGTGCGTGTCCGGGCCAAACGAGAGCTCGCGAGCTGAGCTCTCAGCTTCATCTCTTTCACTTGCGGATTTTTTTTTTTTTCAAGCTTTGGATACTGAGGCTTACCAGGTGGGACTCTGGGCTGGTGAAGGTGACCAAAGCGCCGTGGAGTCGCCTGTTTACTGTTGATCCGGCCTTCTTTAAAATGGCAGTCCAATAGCGTGCGTTGGCCCAAGTTCGACCACGTGTGGACGCACGAGGGTCAGCAACATCGAGAATCGATTTTAGAATGATCGGCGTCGCATGTTTGTGCGACGTTCATTGCATGGTGCATGGCTATCGTTGGTGCCAGTTGTATTTTAGAAAAATACTAATAATCGCTTCCGCAATTAATCCCAGTGCGTGTGCATACAAGTCCGAAATAGAAAATATACGTAATACGTTCGAAATTAATCTGGATCTTCGATTGATCTACGACGATTACTTATATTATAATTTGTGTTTAAAACATTGCCTCAGTGTTTATAAAATAATTGTTTATGTAATATTTATGCAAAGCCTAAGTGAAAGAAAAGCGATTATATATACATATACATTGATTGCAGAATGTAAATAAAAATTTGAAATTTTTTTCCTTTCTGACATAGCAATATTAGTTTCACGATATAAAAGAAAATTGCAAAGTCGAAGAACGTGTTTTGGCGTGAATGACGTTTTCAATATTTCGTTCTTTTCTACCAATTTGTCTCTTGCCGCGTTGCGAATGAAATTCTCGTACATTATTCGTTTTTCGACACGAGAAAGAAAGCCGGGACGCGTGACAGACAGCGACATTGACAATCGATCTCGGAAATTCATTTTCGTTTAGACTTATGAGAGATACTTGTAATTTCCTACCAATTCTGCTGCATATTCGCATGAGGGAATCGATTTTCAAGCTTATTTTGAATAACGTGAGATCTTATCTCGTCGCTCTATTAAACTCTCATAATTCCAACGAAACAAATGAGAAAAGAAGGCAGCTATTTAACAATATATATTCTCATCTTTTAACTTTTAATTTCGTACTTGACGTAGAACCGAATACTAAATTCGAAATAAGTTGACTGTCAAGTTGCTACGAACAAATGAATTGCGGACGAGACAATAAAGTTTCATTCACGAGAGGTATAAAAGTAAGTACGACTTTTAATAGTAGTTTAAGAACGTTTCTTGTTGAGCACATCCCTCGCGAATAAATCCTTGGAGGCACCTCATAGCATAACTTTCGTTCGCCAGGTTTTGTAGAAAGGATTGACGCAGTAACCCTTGCGAATGTAATTACGTTCACTCTCCATCGAAAAGATATGCGTGTCATGAGATTTGAATGAAACTTTTATTATTACTTTCAGTTACTTTTGCAATACCATCGAATGATATAGCGATATATTGCACGGAAAGAATAGTTTTGCTGAAGTACGTAAAAATTTAACTATTTATACATTGATGTGAAAATAATTTTTATTCGGACATTGTAATAAAATATACGTAATTATTTTGAACATCATACAAAATTATTTTCAAGTCTAGCTAAATTTTTAAATACTTTAGGAAAATCCTTCTCTCTATGTCTCATTTAAAAAAATATGATAAAAAGTATATAAGAAAATTCAGAATATCATTAATGTTTTTATTAATCTTCTCGTTGTTAAATTAATAGAAAGGAGAACGGTTTTAGATTATATGAAGAATACTCTGTCAAAAATTTTTATTACCATCAAAAGCACTGCTAGCACTTAGCCCCTTTCCAAGCAATCTTTTATAGGACGAGCGCGCAACGAGCCGTTCTCCGGAATGAAACGAGTATAAGGCGCATCGTTAAACACGTCGCGAGATATAATGCGTCACTTTAAGATGAGAATTATCTTTCGGGCGGTATAACGAGAGTAAGTCGCTGAAAGTCCCCGTGGTAGGGGGTTCGTGTCGACACATCGTGCCCGAGCATTAAGGTGCTTGTCATAAATATGAGGAGACACGCGTTCGTCTTGAATCCCCGTAAAACTTCCGCAGCGAGCCGCAGAGTTGGCGCACAAAATGAGAACGTCGCGAAATTATATGGGCGCAGGTAAATTTACCGCTAGAAAATGAATGACGATGCTTTATTCGTAAATAACAATGAGTTTAACGGGTAGAGCAATGTGACAATATGTGAAAATATGTGAGAATGATAACGATCTAATATTATTAATGTAGGTCAACATTCAAGATTCATGATATTAAAAATTAAAACATATACGATACAATAACGGAAATATATATATATATATATATATATATATATATATATATGTGTGTGTATGTATCATATTATATAAGCATTTCGGAATCGGAAATATCGGAACTAAGTATACGAGAAATATTTTCGGTATACTGTGGAATAAAATACACCTGTGCAGGGATTTAATATCGCGGCCATCTCTCGTCGAGACGCTTTTGAGACGTCACGTAAGCCCAAGCTACTCGAGGCTTAGCGATTTCGTGACAGATTATACCAGATTATTCGACGAGCACGCACATGAATAAGAAAATACACCTGGATCCAACGCGGACGACTTAACCCAGATACCAGCCAATTTTGCGCGAGGTCTTTAGAAAATTTCGCTGGACATCCTTTTCGTTTGCATCCTTGTAATTTTCTGCGTCTCTCCATGAAAATCGTAAAGTTAAAAATACCTCAAGTAGCGCAAAGCGTGCTAATTTCTTCATAAATTAAGCATAAAATACTTCAACATAAGTGCCAGTTTTTTCATTCCGTTATGAAATTTCAGACTTGACTGAGGTTGAGAAATTAACATAGCAGAATGTCTAATTATGAATAAGTACGTACGTTATATACCGATAAATATTATTTGTATACGTGAACTTATATACACAGATTTCAGCTTGGTTTTTTCCAGACAATTAACATCACACTTTTCATATTTATTACCAGTGTTTAATCAGTGAATTATAATCAACACATAATATGCAAGCAAAATCGTTACACGCATAAAAAGACTATTGAACATTTAATGAAGAGCTTTAGCTCGATGATAATTCACCACTATTCATTAATAATCGAAGACAATACGAGAGCTGTGTTTTCATAACATTATTTATTAAATAATATTAAATAATTTATTGCCCTACATCCCCAAAGTAGGACAACGCTGTAACATATCGTTTACAGTCAATATGAGATATTACTATATCCATAAAATATTATTTAACATAATGAAAGAATTTATATTTTCGACACTTTTCTTTTTTTGATACTTGATACCTAATTCATATGTGTTCAGATTTTTAATTAAGACTTTATTCTCAAACCACACACATTTTAATATTATTAGGAAATAAAAATTATTTGTTAATTAAAACTGTTAAATATTTGTTATCATTTTATTAATGCATAATATCTATGTTTCAAAATAAACTCTTCAATTAGTATATCGAATGCCATTAACGACAAATATAGTCAACAAATTAATATCTCATGTTTGAATGACGTTTCGCGACGCATTCGACAGCGCCACGAAATTTAGTTACCCTAGAAATTAATTATTATGCTACCTGTAAACATTACATTCGCGCTTATTAATTCTTGAAACTCGGTCGCCCTCCAGAGAAGTTCACTCGGTTAATTAAAGCAGCACCGAAAACGGCTGGCGCGTTAATTAAAAGACGGAAGGAGCATCTTAGAATCGTCTTGATTGCTGGCAGTATGAAACGGAAGGGATGGTACTTGGTTGCTTGAAGGAAGATCAAGTCACTCCACAGCGCGAGAAACAAATGAAGCATTGATTTACAAACATTGTTAACGTCAAAACTTAAGAAGAGAAAACGATATATTAATATAAAGTAATAAAATAATATATAATATTCTACGTACTTATTTGAACGTATTTTGTATATATGGGTATCTTGTGAGCCAAGACGTATCCAGAATAAAAGTAATTCGATAATATAATATAGATTATTAGATTCTCACTTTATTTGTATAAAAATTATTATTTTTAAAGTTATATTGTCGTAAAAAAGTTCCTTTTAATATAAATATTAAATTAATAATATAAATATTAAATTAATTTATTAGCGTATTTTAACTTTTTAATCATCGTTTCTATAAGTATATGTATACATTTTCAATTTAATGAAAATGATCAGATGTCAATAATTTACAAGTTAAAAGTAAATAGAAATAAAAGAGATTTTATTTAAAAAGAAATGTAAAATTAAAGATAAATAACAAAGTTTTATCTTTAATTTAGTATCAAGTGGACTTCAAGGATATATTTAATGTTGAAAATTAAAAAGTTCTGAAAAAGTGTAGAGTCCAATTAAACTTTCCCTAAGGAAAAATCTGTCAAAGAGTGCACTTCTAAAGCTTTGCGACCTATTTTAAGGTCGCTTTTGTAGTAAGATTTATTTGTCAGAGTTTTTCTTTCTACTCATTGTTAAATAAAAGATTTGAAGAAAATAGTTTTGAGTATTCTTCATAATAACTCAAGAAGGAAATGTGCTTTATTGGAAAATTTCCTGTTATGCAATGGACTGAAGGAAACAAAGCATTTCACGAGCGTTATTGACTGATTTATCAAAATCGTCGATTTGTCGAATGAATGCGAACTCATAATATTTAATTGAAAATCGTTAAATCCGTTCAAGTCGCACGTAAAATTTACGAATGCGGCCTGGATTTAGCCACCGACGGAATCGTGACTCGTAACTCTCGATCACGCGTGTCACGAGGTAACGATCGAGGTGAACCACCTACAATGCGAACATGTAATTACTTAAAAAGAACAGCCTGATCCGTGAAAGTATGGCATTATTTAGCCAGCTTGCAATCTTAGATCTTTTTAATAAATCCATCTATTTTATATAGTCTTATATAAAATTTAATTATACGTTATAAAATTTTATAACCTCGTATCTCTCTAATAAAAATAATATGTACTTCAATATATATATACATTATTAGAATGATTCAAAAAATTCATATTGTTTAGTATTAAAGTACAAATTAAAAATTAAATATTCAAATAATTCTTATTATCTAAAATAGCCATATTAAACATTTAACATATTTTTTTCTATTAAAATGTAAATGTTTTTAATCTCTTTTTAAAAAATATATAATTAAGTTTATTTATAACAATTAATGGAAAATAGAGAAA